TCATATGAGTTGTGATACTTGATAACCCTTGCATACAAGTTTCATGGAATTTGAACACACGCTTTTGAAATGATGCTAAAAATTCAAAATCTTGATGTTGATACCACTACAAAGTCAAAATCTGCAGACCTTAAATTACATTTGACCTTGACTTTGTCACCTACAAGACTAATCACATACTTTCAAAATTATGATAACAATTCAAAATCGTAACCGACAGTTTTGATGTCAATGCAACAACATAGACTAAGTTTGTTGACCTGAAATGACCTTTGACCTTAACTTAGTGACCTGAAATTCAAATCACGTGATTGGGGATACGTGATAACCCTTTGGTCTAAGTTTCATTGAATACGAACTTATACTTTCAAAATTATATTAATTTTTTTTTAAACTTTCGATGATGATGCCACAACATAGTCCAAGTCTGTTGACCTGAAATGACCTTTGACCTTGACTTTGTGACCTGACATTCTACTCACATGATTGAAAAACTTGATAACCCTTTGGTCCAAGTTTCATTGAATACGAACTTATACTTTCAAAATTATACTACAATTATACTACAACTAATACTACGATGTTGACGCCGTCGCCGTCGCCGCCGTCACCGGAAAAGCGGCACCTATGTCTCGCTTTTTGCTACGCAGGCGAGACAAAAATCAAAGTATAGAAAGTAACAGTAAATTTAAACTATATTTACAAAGGATATATGCAGGGTTTTCCATGAAGGTTGCGAAAACCTGTGAAGTTGGATCCCCCGTTACAGAATGAAAAAGAAATACAAAATAAGCACACAACAATACATTATGAACAACAAATTTGACGGAAATAACTTATCAATATACTGCTGATATATTATGTACAAGTATTTATATGATTTACACACAATTGATAGTGATTTGTATACAAGTGTCTCTAATCTGTTTATCTAGGTAAATAATTCGAAAATTCCTCGTGGGTCTACGATTCAAATGAAATCATGAATGATAAACGTCTTTAAATGTGTGTGTGTGTGGGGGGGGGGAGGGGGGAGGGGCTCCTAACGATTTTTTTTACTTTAATTTCTCCTTTTTTCATTTTTAGATCCGAAATAGATAGACAGAAGATAATAGCATTTAATAAGCAAACAAACATAACAAACAAACAAAGACTGCATGATATATATTACAAATCATAATACATTCAAAGCTGTTTGACATCCCTCTCATAAAGAATATATGCTGTGCCATCAGTTCTATTTTAGTGTCATATGGTGTCAGATTCCTTGATACTTTTTATTCGTATATACTAAGATTCATGATATGATTCTTATTCCACTGATTCTGATTCCACTCCACTATACCACACAGAGCTACGTGCACTTCCACTATTCGTTACACACACATACAAATTATATCTGAGCGTATTTCAAAGTTTAACTTGGGATATTTTCTATACCATACCCTTGCCGTTTCCAAAAGTGACCTCCTCCCTGTTTCCTCCATCCTCATCAGCACGATAAACTCGATCTTCCTTATAGTCATTCCAGTAGATCTTCTTTTCCACGCAGTCATAGATAAAATGACCGGGTCGTTCAGTGGATGGTATAGCAGTGAAGTTTAGGTCATCTTCTAGACCTGCAACAAAAATCCAGTTTTGAGCTGTCACAAACATCTTTGCAGTCGATTCTGAAATAAACGGGTCAAAGGAGGTAATTTTATTCCACAAAGTTTTTCCTCGTACGTATATTAAAACATTCGACATTCTTTGGTATTGAGATTTTATTAATCATTTATTGACCAGCACTTCAATGAATAATAGTCTGATCAAGAATTACAACTATGTGCCCATTCAATTGTGAACAACAATGCTAATGTACAAATCAATATCTGTCGTTCTCCGTTCTTGAGAGCTGGTAAAAAGATAATAAATTAAGGTATACACTTTAGTCACATTCCAGATGCTGACATACAGTACCTTAACGAAGCATAGACAGTATACTATTTCTCTTTTTAACAACTATTCTCTGTCACAGAGGAATCGAATGACTATTTATACTACGTGTAATGCACTATAAAGATTGTTGACGTTCGTAAACTTCGTGAATTTGTGTTATGCATCTCTTGAGGTGAGTAATTACTTAACGTACATATATATTTATACAACAATAAACTTAAATGTGATGACTATAACTGCAAAGGGTTATGATTATCGAACATTCTGACCAACCATGCGAACTTAACGAATGTTAATTTACTGGATCGTACTATTAAAGTCGCAGGGTAGAAAGATGCATTTTCAAACCGCGCCAAATTTAATTTACGTTCCGACATTCTGTTAAATGGGTTCGTGTTGTTAGGAATCCACTGCTTTCTGCTCCACCAAACGTCCACATGCGGAGTCGTTTATCACTAAATTATCCAAATTTATGGATGCTTCCTTCCCAGGTGTTTATGTTGTTGAAGCATTTCATTCACCTGCTATCATTCTTTGTACAATTGCCAGAACGCAAATTACATTTTGGTTTTTATAGTTTCATGCGGAGTCGTTTATCAACTATATGTATTAAAATTTATGAATGCTTCCTTCCCAGGTGTTTGGTGTTTATGCATTTCATGGCTGTTATTATTCTTTGTACTCCAATTGTTAGACTACAAAATTGCATTTTGGTTTTATAGTATCATTCAATAAGTAAGTCAAATAAAAGAGTTTGTTCTGCACAATAAAAACAATTTGCGTCCCTATTGTACAATGTAATGTGTCCCCTCATTTTGTAATAGTTAATTTACCCATTCACATAATTGAACTACCTGCCCGATGAAGGCGGTGGTCCCGTGACCCCTGAGCACTCAACACCGTGTGGGAGTCAGTTTATGACAAACTTCTTTTATGAGACAAACCGAAGCAAACGTTTCCATATGCGAAAATTTTAAAATTTGCCCCCCCCCTCCCCTTGAGCGCCATGGGGGGGGGGGGGGGACCCCAAAAAAGGTAAAAATCACGTGTTTTTACATGATTTTTTTTCTCAAGGGGGGGGGGGGGGCCCTCGGCCCCCCCTCCCCCCTGGATCCGCCACTGCATTTTAGAACGTTCAAATCTGATAATATTATACAAATATACACTGCATTGACAGGTTCTGGTTAAAACTATGCGCAAGAGGTGACTCCAATAGTACTTTTTTTGCTGAGGGACGCAGCCCCGAAGCAAATAGTACTTTTGGAGTCACCAAGGCCCATAGTTTAACCAGTAACTCGAATAGAAGGCATGGTATATTTGTTATATATCCTGCATCAAAAATTTATTAAAAAAACAAACAAACAAACAAAACAAAAAACATTTTTGGTAAAAAAAAAGTTTAGAACAAAAAAAATATAAATTTTTATCCAAATAGATATAAAATATTTTGTTTTCATTAAATTAAGATTTGAATTTTTTTTAAATTCAATTAAAACGAAAATTCACATTTTTTTATTTCAACTCACAAATAGTAAACAAAAATAGTACTCTCATATAGTACTTTCTTAAAATAGCTCAAATATTTTTGGTCATGTGACGAGCTCTCAACCAATCAGAAGCAGACAATTTTTGATGCAGGATATAATACAATATATTTTGTCAATCATAGCAATTAATAGTACGCTATGCGTAGTGGGTTTGATACAAATGGCTATTTCTGCCTCTACCAAAGATGCTATCGGAAGTACGCCCTCTACTGTTTACCAGAATCCCTGGGCTTGTTTTTTGGCATTTTCATCCTGCGTATTTTTTTTCCCACTTTAGCTCCGGACCCAGTATGAACTCATTTGCATACAGCCAATCAGAGCTCATCTTGTCAATAACAAGCTTTAGATGCAAAATTCGAAAAGGTGCAAAGCTCTTGGCTTAACACACGTACACACAGCGCCTTGCATATATATCAGCATGCATGGTGTGCGTACATAGGTATAGGCTTACAAATGTTTCATTTCTAGTATCTCTACCTTTAGGAAATGTATTACAGATTTACACCTCTAATAATATCAGCTTACGAAATTGCTGTGGAAACTGTTACTTAGCACCAAGGATAGGCCTTTCTCGTCATCGAAGCCACTATACAGGGCGTATCATAATAAAGGATATTGAAGTTTAATGACGATTTATATGAAAACTACTGATTTCATAATCAAGCATTTTATGTCTGTTGTAAAGGACAGAATGTCCTCTTGTTAATGACACCCCGATCATACTACTACTGTCACAGTTGACTGAATAACAAAGTATTGCTGTCCACCATGTGAAAGGTGCACTGTGCCAAGTTTGATAACATTTCCTTCTTAGACACATAATCCACTCATTGTTCAGCATTTCAATATGTCTGGGCTGACACAAGCACTAATCTTTAGAATTTATCTGTGAAGGCTAACTTGTCACAGTGCACCTTTCACATGGTGGACAGCAATGCTTTGTTATTCAGTCAACTGTGACAGTAGTAGTATGATCGGGGTGTCATTAAAAAGAGGACATTCTGTCCTTTACAACAGACACAAAATGCTTGATTATGAAATCAGTAGTTTTCACATAAATCGTCATTAAACTTCAATATCCTTTATTATGATACGCCCTGTATATTATAGGGACTCATTTCTAAAGATTTTACGGTTGCGAAGGCCTATCCTTGAGTGCTAGAGTAATTGTAACTTAGTGCCAAGTAACAGTTTTTTAACAGCAATTTCATAGGCTGATATTATTAGAGGTGTAAATCTGCAATAAACCTGCTAAAGGTAGAGATGCTAGAGCAGAAATGAAACATTTGCAAGCATATGCCTATGCACGCACACTATGCATGCTGATATAGGCGCTGTGTGTACGTGTGTGAAGCCCAGAGCTTCGCACTGTTTTGAATTTCGCATCTTAGCACGCCTAAATCTTGTTATTGACAAGATGAGCTCTGATTGGCTGTATGCAAATGAGTTCATACTCGGGGTACGGAGTATAAAATACAATTTTGTCTCACCAGTGATTCATTAAAGACACTGACAGGCTCGTATCAGGAGGCTCATGTTCTGTATATATGGGTTGATTTGACAACACAATAAGGCTCCAGAACTTGGGGTTTTTAGCGATCGAATAGCATCATGTCTGATCACGGTAAACAGGGATGGACAAGTACTGTAAAGGTGAGAATTAAAGGTTTTCTGATTGTTTGAATAGTTAAACAACTTGTGAAAGAGTATGTATCAGAGTAATGCCCATTTCGCGTGCATACTGCCTTTATAAAGTGAGTTTGTTCATTGTTTGATTATATATGTTATGTATTGTTATAGAAATTAACACAGCCACGATACGCAATTTCTTCTTGTAAGGAGGCTCATTATTTATTGTGTTTTTGCATATTTTCGAATGCAATGCTTTCCCATAATGTCTACCTTTGCAAAGGAAATCCAGATTTTACCATCCTTTACTAGAATAATGATTTAAGTCATGATCAAGTTTTTTGATTCATGGTGAAGTTTAATTCCTCCTCTGGTGTGATGTGACGTAATTTAATAATTTACGTCGGCCTTATGCCAAAAGGGCCTTTACTGCTTTTTGCCTTTTCGAGATAATCGCTTTTAAGGGTTTTGGCCTCTCTAATCATCAACAGTTTGTGGTCATTTTTTTTTTGGTTTTGAAGTCAATTTCGATAAATATGTTAAATTATTAAGTCTACATGAAATGTGTTAAATTTGTTTTAAAATATTCAAAAGTTTTCATGCTATGTGCAATACACATGTTAGGGGATTTTTGGCATATGGCTTAAATGTAGCGTATTTATGCCAGAAGGGGCGTAACCTACACGGCATTATGCCAAAAGGGCCTTATCCTGCCGTTATCGTACGCACCCGTAGTGAGCGCCCTTCTGGCAAAAAGAAATGTTCTTGTTTCGCGACACTTTTGGTTTGCCCATGGAACTATTACGGATGGACATTCATCGTTTTTTTAACGAATTCATTGTGATTGTCTCCGTCAATGTCGTCTCAATAACATTCCCTACATGTTCCTTCACTTTGATCTCATGATGGTCACCGCCAAAAAGCCGGGACAGAATCAAGATAGTGATTTTACAACACTTGTATTGCCACAACTAATTTACCTTTTCTCAGTTCTTTGTATTAGAATACCTCGCTCCTTTTTCTCAGAGTTGAATAAGGTTTTTTTACAAGTTTATTTGGAGTTGAGGTAGAGACAGAGTGCAGAGATTATCTATAAGTAATGATTATAAAAATGCAGGCCTTAATGATCGATCCCTTATCTTTTGCCATTGCCCAGAAAATGACTTGGGTTAAAAACTTTCTTGATGAAAATTTTGATGCTCCTTCGAAAAATATTGAACTATCCTTTTTGGAGAAATTTAATCAAGACGTTTTCCTTTTGTGGAAGTGCAATGCACATGAGTGTGTTTTGAACTCTCTGGGCAATGTTCAGTTGGCTGATTCATTGCGTTCATGGTATTTATACAGAGAAGAAGCCACCAAGGAATTTTATGGTCATAAATTCTCAGAATTAAGTGCTTGTCAATTTATTCATCTCATTTTGTAAGTTATAAATTATTGTTAAGCATTTTATACTATTATGTAACTTTCCTCCCCAATAATAATCATATCAAATGTTTCTAATGTAAGCACCAAGTTATTGATTTGAAAATGTATATATTTATGTGATGAACGTAAAGACATAATGATGTAATGAAAGTAATCAAGGATATAATAGTAATTGCTCCAACTATTGTTATCCTGATATATATATATATATATATATTTATTTATTTTCTCATATTGTGAATTTTTATTCTGTTCTTTACTCTTAATTTTCCAGGATGCAGACTGTGGGGGGGGGGGGGGGGTGACATGCTTTCGAGTAATAGCAATTTAAATTGCTTTTGTCACCCCTGACCAGCAGATTGTATCCTTCTCTCTATCTCCTCTCCACTTTCATAAAGCTGTTTGAATGTATTATGAAATGTCTATGTATTCTCTGATTGTTATACTCATTGTATGTTTTCCGATTGGTCAAATAAATAATAATAATAATAATAATAATAATAATAATCATTATGGTAAAATAAATTAGTCCGTTCAAAATCCAAATCGTATTTTAACTATGAATATATGAATATTCTTACAATCTCAGATTTGGTTAATCCTCCTTTCCCTGGGCATAAACTTTTTGAAGAACTAGTACTAGATTTCGGTATTTCTTCTTTAGATAGAATTAAATTAAATTTTTTGATAAAGAATATTCTAGAGCAGTGGATAGTGGATTTTGAGGTTTATGATACTATAGTGCTTAATTTGTTACAATATAAAAGAGGTCCTAAGAATGCTTACATTGTGCTACTTGGCTCGCATCTTCCAGCTAAGAGATATGCTTATTGGAAAGATAATGTATTGGTACCTATTAATGTTAACTGGGAAAAGGTTCATTGCACTAATTTCTTTTGTACTCTTGATACTAAATTAAGGTCTTTTTATTTTAAAGTCTTTCACAAAGCCATTGCAGTGAATTGTTTCCTATTTAAGACCAAGAGGAAAGATTCGCCTAATTGCTCTTTATGTGAAAAGAAAGAGGAAACTTTAGTTCATTTATTTATACTATTATATCCTTGATTACTTTATGTGAAAAGGTTACTCCGATTTTGGATAATCTTGAGACTGTCATTTGTCAGAAATTAAATTCCAACTTACCTGTAACCAATTTAGAATTATTTTTTTGTTGGCATCTGCAGTGACAGGTTTGTCTCATATCTGTTTTTGCTATTGAAATATCATATTTATTCATGCAAGTTTAGAAAAATGCTCCCCAATTTCACAGCGTTCAAATCACTGGTTAAGAAACAAAAATAATTGGAATATCTGTCAGCCAAAAAGATAAGTAAATTGCCTAGTCACTTTAAAAAATGGCGTTTTGACCTTTAAGCTTTTGTGTCATCATATAAAGACCTTTCTTTTTCCTCTTTGTTTTTAATATGATCTTACAGTGATCTTGTTATGTAATATTTTGTCTTTTGTACTCCCATGTCTACTTCTGTACATATTCCTGTGCCCCTTTACAGAGATACAAGTATTTATTGTTACTCCAACCTCCTTTTTTTTCTTTTCCCCTTTTACATTGCTGTTAGTTATTTCCCATAGTCAAATAATTTCACTTTTCTTGTGTGCATATAATTTTTGTTTACAAATTACATTGCCACTGTGTAACATGAGCAATAGCCTCGATTGGAATTGGGTCAGTTTACGCGTGTTTCCTTATTGCCTAATCAGGAATGCGTTGTATTTGTATCACTTCAGTTGATTTCCCCACGCTCTGTCTGCGCAATTTGCCGACTGGGTGTCTGGAGTGGGCTAGCCTTTAAACAAGGCCACATGCCTGATAGACGCCGAGCGACTAAAAAGAGACTAATCGCGAAAACCTGAATGAACGCCAGTGCGAATTGTCCAGACCTGTGGCCTTTATCAATCTGGTTTGGATTTCTTATGTTAAGCTACAGTCCCATATACGTCCCGGACCGTCCCGGACCATCCCGGACCCCATCCGGGGTGATCCGGGATTCGGTCCGTGTTGACACCGTGTTGGCACCGGGGTGGTCCTGGATGGTCCTGGATGGTCCTGGATGGTCCTGGGCGGTCCGGGAGTCGACCCCGGATGTTTTTGACGGTCAAAAACTGCCGGGGTGGTCCGGGACGGTCCGGGACAATAGTTTGATCCGGGGTGATCCGTGTAGCCACCGTGCTGGGTCCGGGGTCATCCGTAGTGGCGCCGGGGCGGTCCGTGTTGATCCGTGGCAGTCCGGGAGTGAGTTATTGATCGCACAGGACCATCCAGGACCATCCAGGACCATCCAGGACCATCCAGGACTACCCCGGTGCCAACACGGTGTCAACACGGACCGAATCCCGGATCACCCCGGATGGGGTCCGGGATGGTCCGGGACGGTCCGGGACGTATATGGGACTGTAGCTTAAAAGCATCACACTTTTTTTAACAAAACATCCCGGACCATCCCGGATCACCCCAGACCATGGTCCGGGATGGTCCGGAGTGGTCCGTGCTCGTCCGTGCTGGTCCGGCTTTATATGGGACTGGGGCTTTAACCCTTGTTTCCGACTGGAACTCGCTTCAGAAAACGTAGTGTCCAATCAGCGAACGTATCCTAGCACGACGTCAGCATATAGTATCCATCACACACACACACACACACACACACACACAGTAAACTCTACGTAGTGCGAACATGGACCTACATGCATACTATACGTACGTGCTAAGACCACTGACCACTGACCTCTACATGGAACGAATCACGAACGAAGCCGACTAGGAGATCGCCGTTCTGATTGGTCAATGAATCCAAAGTAGGCGTATTGGCCTACTAATATGTATCTATGAATAATTCATGCGGAGAAGTGAAACCCACTTTCCAAAAGGCCTCATGACATTCGTCATTCGGTCGCGCGTTCACTCCGGGTATCTAGACTCATCTCTGCCGCTTAGCCAGAGTCAACGAGGCCTTGTCAAAAGGCTAGGAGTGGGCGGGGTCGAGGTGTGAGGCGATCTGTCTTACCCGCATGTTGCATGTGGATTGTGTGTGTTGGGGGGGGGGGGGGGGGGGCGCTTGTGTGTTTGAGTGTTAGTATGAAAGTGCTGAGGGTGTGTGTGTGAGGGGGAGGGGGGGGGGGGTAGAGCGGATTGTCTCATTCCTCGACTTTGCTCCTCCAACCTGTTGGTGGTCTGGAGTTTCCATTGTACCTGTGGATGGCTTATTTTTACTCCCTTTTCTTCATTTTGGGCCCAACGAAATTTTCAGTTTCTGATGCAATGCTATCTCGAGGTTCTTGCTTTTGTACTTGTAATTGTTATAATTCTGATTATTTCTATTACGTGTACTCTGCCTTGTTCCCCCCCCCCCAGATCATCTCAATCGTTTGTAAATATCTTAATTTGTCATTAATTTCTTTTGTAACACAGCATTCGATTTTTTGGGAAAGTTTGAATATGTTATGATTTGATTTCTTAATAAACACATAAAATCAAATTTAAAAAAATAAAAATAAAAAAAAGATAGTGATTTTACACTTGTTAATCTACATGCGCAAAAGATAATAACTTGCCTAAATCATGGAAAATAGATGTGCAGTTCTGGCTTATAATCAAAAATTGTTGTTCCGTGTACTGTACATGTATTTTATTTTGAAAAACATGTTGATATTACCAGATAGAGGTTATTTTTGGATTTTTTGGTTATGATTTAAAATCCCGTTTCCCCCTATTTTCTCATAATATTCCAGAGTTACAACAAACAGGGCTAATACAGATCATGGCCTTCTAATTGTTTTATAAGGTCATAGGTGTGTGCGAAAGTTTGCGAATCAGTAATAATACATTTCATATCACCAAAATCGTCTGCTTGTCAACTTTGCTGCTCCCAAATGGGGATGCTTTTATTTAAGACACACTCTTACAGAGAACACCATCCAAAAAAAAAAAGAGAGTGAAACTGCTCCTTTGTCAATGACCGAAAATGCTTACGCAGTCGTTATTGTTAAAACAGCTGAATATTCGCATTAAAAGCACACATAAGAAGGCGGTGACTATAATTGGATCAAAGAAAGAATCACGTTGAATGTCCATCCGTAATTGGTCCATGGTTTGCCAGAAGCCCCCGCTACGGCTATTGGATCACGAAAACTGATACAACTGATTAATTAAAATGTTAGAAAAGGTATTTTTGATTTCTGAATATTTGTATTACTATGAAGCAGCTTTCGGTGAAGTAATTTTTTTAGAGATTGTACATTTACTGATTAAGGACAAATTTTCCGTTGTTTATATGTATTACAGTCCCATACGTTGACATCTGCGTCTTTCATGAGTCAGTCGCATTGCATGCATCCACATCTGACTTAGATCTCACTCATAATTCATGAGCTAAATTCATGATATATACTTTCAGCGATTATTAGAGAGAGACAGAGAGAGAGAGAGAGAGAGAAAAAGAGATAACAGAGAGACGAAGAGTTGTACTTGAAAGAATGCATAAAGAGATGCTTGGAGAACAAGAGAAAAGGAACGGACAATTGTAGACATGTGGCGAGGAGATTAAGGGAGAGGGGAAAGGGTAGAGAGATAGAGAGAGAGAGAGAGAGAGAGAGAAAGAAAGAGAGAGAGCACTAGAGGGAGAGAGAAAGAAAGAGAGAGAGAGCGATAGAGAGAGATAGAGGGGGAGTTTCATTTTAATGCAATTCAAATCGATTCCATTCAATTCAATTCAATTTTGTCTGAATTAAGCGATAGTTTATTTGACTTAAACCACAGACATTTATTCTTCATGTATTCATTAAACTGGTCTATCAGTGAATATCAATTTGTATGGCTTAAAAACAAAGAAGTGTCATCAGCAAACTGTACACATTTTAAGGAATGAGAAGAGTTGCATATGTCATTTATATATAAAAGGAAAAAAGGGGCCCTAAATTTGACCCTTGTGGAATTCGAGATTTAATCAGCACTTTGATAAAACTGTATCCATTATATTCAGTAAATTGGTACCTTTGTGAAAAATAACTCTTAATCCAATTTAACGCAATACCTCTAGCACCATAATTAACTAATTTCTTAAAGAGAATAGAAATATCAACGTTATCAAACGCCTTACTCAGGTCCATAAAGACACCAAATATAAACTGTTTTAAATTCAAGGCATTAACAATAATATCATAAACAGATATTAAAGCATGGTCAGTAGAAAAATGGGTTCAACATCCAAATTGATTATCATGTAATATATGGTGTTTAGATACAAATGTGTATGTTCTATCATAGTCTAATCTCTCCTAGATTTTTGAGAAACATGACAAAAGTGGTATAGGACGATAATTACCAATAGTGTGCTTATCCCCCTTTTTAAAGGTAGTGATAGTGTTGGATACTTTTAGCTGTGAAGGTACTATTCCCATTTAAGGAAAGATAAAAAGAGAGAGAGAAAGAGAGGGAGAGGGAAAAGAGAGAGACAAATTTTGTGTAAGTTAACGTATAATTAATTGTTTCAACGTTTCAACGTTTGCTTTTTCTTTTAGCAGTCTAACCCTTGGAAAACCAATTTCCTCATCGTGAACATGACTGTTTGCTGCAACAGGTAACCTCCTAATTTTGTTTAAATTCAAATATTCTAAAAAAGCCTTGACAAGAAATGAAAATAAGAATATAAACAAACATCCTTATGAATTATTGTTGACGTTATTTGCCGAAGTAGTGAGGGTGTGTGTGTGTGTGTGTGGAAAGAGGGTACATTTATTATGTTATTATATTATTTATAAAAGTACTATCTTCAGCTACGTTTCATTTCACGTCATTGCAAACATTTATTTTGCTCGTTCAAATACCCACCTCTCTTCCCCCGCCACCTCCATCCGATTGGTCAAAATTGGAGTCGTGATTTTAGCCATTCCCGTAAAGAAAAGAACAATGCCAGTAATGATCAATTGTTCTTGAGTGAAATTCCGGCAAGATTGACACAGTTTTTATTGTGGGGCCTCACAGTAACGATGCCATTGCTTAGTTAGTTAGGGCCATGAATTATGGCTCAAGGCATGTCCACACATAGGATTTTGTTCATGTTGGGGGTCGGGGCAAAATGCAATGAATTATTTATAGTTTATTGCATTTTCTTTGCTTTTTTTTATTTGTGGGGGCGGCGACGTACCTTAGCCCCCGCTGCGTACAGTCATGATTCAATGGCTAAGCAATGGCCTCGTTACTGTGAGCCCCCAGGATCAAAACCGTGTCGATGTGCTTTATCAGTGCCCTTTTGTGAGGCATTAAAGGCCCACTGCACTACTTGTAGCTACTTGCGCCCTCTATATAACAAAAAATGCCTAATCGGTGACCATTAGTCCCCCATGATCCTCTTTTTCTCATGTTAACTGAGAGACGAGTTGATGAGATAACTACCTGTCCAGTGACCTTGCAGGGCGGTCTAATCCATCCTGTAAACTATGACAGATAAGCTTTAATACTCATTACTGTCAGTTATGACTTAAGGACGTAGGTCCCCTAGTTGATTAGCATAGTAGCATACACATGCTTTAGCAGTCACGCAAAACAAACACTCACAAATTATTATTTAATAAAATCTGAGAATGTATACTATTATCTAGATCTATGAGGAACAAATTATTGTCAAAATCATTCCATTAATTGGGGTTAAAATAAATATCCCACCATTACGACCAACAGTGTACTATTACACCGGTTATTGGTTTCAGTGCTTGCCCGCACACACTGTGTGCACAATCTCCACTCCCTTGAGAGGATTCTAGCCAGGCGTTACTTTTACGCTCAAAAACTGTTTGACCAACATTGACGGTCGCATCCTACCGGGTACTAATTTTAACGCCTGGGTGGAGAGTAGTAAGTGTAGGTTAATATTCTGCCAAAGGATATTAGTGCCGTGTCGGGATTCGAATCCTCGACCTTCGCATCTCCAGTCAAGCGCCTTAAACCACGTTCACGACACTCCCGATCAATTGCAGATGACTTTTAACGCTATATAATAATAATAATAATACATAAGATTTATAAGGCGCCAATTCCACTTGACAGTCAAATGCTCAAGGCGCAGCTTGTGCAAAAGATGAAATACATACATGAAACAACCTTACTGCATCAAAATTTGATTGATTTTACCATTATTTATGTCAAATACGGTGTCGCCATCATAGGTCTTGTTTAGTATTTCCATGGCTATACTAACGTTTTTCGCCTAATACGTCATATTTTTGCTCAGCGATGAAACATTTTTAGCGGTATGCTTTTTGACTTTGAGATATTGCAGACCTATCCAAAGAAAAGTCAACGTTTTATGATTTAATGGAAATATGAATGAACTTAGAATAAAGAATAACAAGGAATAACAAATATATCCTTTGTCAGTATAGCACAAAAGCAAATAAAAACAAAATTTTCCGCAACCCTCGAAATTATGGGCCAACAGGGTTAACATTTTCGGCAGTTACCGGGTTACGAAATAACAACTGGTCCAGATAGGCTCGTCTATACAGCAGGTCTCAGAAAAAAAAGAAACCGAGAATTATCGATGTTTTATCATAAGTTAATCACAAATATAATTAATAATGGACACATATGGCTGATCGTTAAAGAAACAGAGTTAAAGATAAACTTGAGTTCTGGTTTAAAAAAAGTAAATGAATTCTCACAGAATAAAAAAAACTTACACTGAATGTTCAAGATTACAAATAAATGTAATTTGCCAAACAATTTTGGTAGAAAATGTATACAGGCTGAGTAACGAGCACTGAGAGATGAGGAAATCAAGGATAGTAACCCGACACCATTTGTGTAGTCCCATATACATCTTTCTCTGTACAGTGCCTGTTACTTTACCGAGACCGGGCTAAATGATTTTGATGACTCCAAAACCTTGCAGTACACACCAATACTTACATGCAACATGATCAACTTTTTCTAATCCATTACATACCTTTTCTTTCACAATGCAATCGCATGACCAGAACTCAACTTTATCTTCAAGTCTTTTATCAACTCTGTTTGTTGCTACGGCAGGCAGCCAGTGAAAAGGAATATGTTTAATCAAATTATGGAAATGGAAGCATTACTTTAAACAAACAGAACATTGTTATTACTGGGTCATTTTGCCTGATTGAGGTGTCATATGAAATGGGAGAAACTGAACTTTCTAGAACTTTGATTTTCTCTTTGAGATTCAGATACTGCCCGTCAAATTATTTTTTTGGTACCCTCTCTTCAAATTGTTTTAATCACTCATGCGTGAAATATGCATTTATATGAGTTACACCAAGTGAAAGAGGAATATCGAAGAGTTACAAATAAGTGTCATTTATTAATTATAATTGTGATTAAGTTATGATAAAACATCGATAATTCTCGGTTTTGTTTTTTGGGGGACGCACTATATATATATATATATATATATATATATATATATATAGAGCTGAAACATGAGCCGTACGTCAAAGTAATGCGAAGTCACTGCGAATATGCGTATTTCATAACATGATGTCAACAAGTCGATAACTAGTTTTTAGGTCGACAGCTTTCGATTTGCATTACTTTAGATTTCGCATTTTCAGAGAGCTGTTACTCCTCTGACAGGTCGTGAAATACAATATAGTAATGTTATGGTCGTCTATGGCTCATTAGTTTTCCGTTGATATTTAATTCATCCATTTCATTTTCTAATGGGATAAGTGGCCAACCGAATAATAACGGCACAATTTGGAAGCAATAATCATTCAGGCTTATCATAACGTACATTTAATTATAATTAAGGCTTCTATTTTATAAACTCCCTTTTACACGGCGCATGTTAGTTATTTATGAAGTTTCAATCTTATCAAATTATTCAATTTGAGGTGGGGTATAGAGGTTGCTCAATCCCCCATTGTTTTGCCATCGAGTAAAGAACATAAATTATATTTCTTAAATTTCTTAGAAATGTAAGAAATACATTGCTCGCATATAAGTACGCATTACAGCCTCTCTCACCAACAATGGCACAACAAATAAATTAAGATGTAAGATTTCATTTATGCATCCTCTGCAACTTTTTTAAACAGCTGATCGTATGTTTGTCTTTGTATATTAAATAAGCCCTCATCCATGATCCAAAATTAAGGTGTTCTTCACGTTATCTTTAAATTTCTGCTGTCATGCTGAAGTATAATGTGTTTTCTTGTATGGTAAATTATTTTCAAATAGAAGTTGCCTTCAAGTTATTTGTACGATGCCATGTCAAAAGAAAATAAATATCCGCTATCTGGTAATTCATCTCATTTGATTGTGTAACTCCAACGCTGCGTTTTTCAACCGGGGTACCGCAAGAGAATGCTAGTTACACTTGGAAAACGTTTGTTTTGTGAAAACATACTTCAGAAACGGTTAGAGTATGTAATCACACGAGAGATATATAATTTTAAAGATAAAGTGTCTTTCTTCTTCGCTCGCTGACAATATTTTGACAGCAAGACGCCCGAATACACATTATATCTTTTATTTCGAGATAACATTGTTACCACACCAATTTCATTTAAAAGAACATGAAAAATATAGGAAACGAGAGGCCCGAATATCCTCATATTCGTGTATCAAGGTCACGACCGAATATATCACTTTTTATTCATGTATATTCGGCGGCAAAGTGCCCGCATATAGTGTTTTAAATCGTTTTTAGTGTGTTGATTACAAACTAATTTTTTACCAATTTGAAGAAAAATAAATCTCCTTTGTTTATCCTTAAATGTGCCTGCACGTGTGTATATAGCACTTGATGAGTGCCAGAGTCATGCAAAATAATAATCTGTGAAGACTTTGCAATGTGGAAGAAACCGTGACTAACAAAAAGTTGAAATATCGCTGCTCCATAGAAATGTATTTCTGTGAGAAGCGCTGTTCAGTTACCTAAAAACTTATATCCTTCGTGGAAATCAGCAACCACTGTATGACTGGCGTTGCATATATTAAAATTAAAGGGAAATGTGTAGTAATAAGGAAGATAATGTGCATTGGATCTTATGGGCTCGTAGCCATCTCTCAAAGTGTCAGATCTTATTTTTCTATTGAATCATGATTGTCTATGAGGGTAGTTGTCCTCGGGGGTAATTGTCCTCGGGGGTACTTCTCCGGTGAGTAACTTTCCCGGGGGTAGTTCACCTTGGGAGTAATTGTCCTCGGGGGGGGGGGGGGGGTAATTGTCCTCGGGGGGTAGTTATCCTTGGGGGTAATGTTCCTTGGGGGGTAATTGTCTGGGGGGTAATTTTCCGGGAAGGTGGGGGGGGGGTAATTGTCCTCGGGGGGGAGGGGGTAATTGTCCTCGGGGTGATTGCCCAAGGGGGTAATTGTCCTAGAACCCTTTATCGCCTGTGGATACGGGTGAATACCAGTACTTCAGAAATTCATAATTTTTCCTATTTTTCCCGATCCAATTCTCTCCCCCCCCCCCCTCTCTCTCTCTCTCTCTCTCTTCCCCTTCCCCTCTACTCCCACCTCCCCTCTGCCCTTGTCTCTCTCTCTCTGTCTCTCTCGAGTCCATACTCTCTATATATATCTAGTGCTCTCTATTTCTCCCTCCCTTCCTCGTTCTGTCTTTCTATCTCCCTCTCTCCGTTCCTCTACCTCTCCCTACCTGTACCTCTCCCTTTCTCTCCACTCCCACTCTCTCTTTCTTTCTCTACCTCTCCCTCCACTCCCTCCTCTTCTCTCTCTTACTCTCTTTTCCTCTCTCTCTCTCTCTCTGTCTCTCTTTGTATCTCTATTCCTCCGTCTCCCCCCTTTATCTCTCTCTTTCTCTCCCTCTCCCTCACTCCCTTTCCCTTCCTATCTCTTTCCCTGCCTCTTTATATCTTTCTCTGTGTCTCTCCCTATCGCTCCTTGTTTTTTCCTTCTCTTTTCACCCTGTTTCACTGTATTTTATGGCCTCCATCTGGAGACGTCAATTTTGCTCAAATGGATATATAAATATAGATTTATAAGGCGCATGTTGCTATGTTGGGCAATCAGATATCAAATAATTTACAAAAGTGTCCAGCGTGGCCAATCTATAAAGTACTTTGCGTTCCTGAAAAACGAAACCAAAAATCAAATGGTTATTGCATCAAATTATGAGCTGTGAAAATGCTTTTCATAAAGTAACATGCTTTTATATGATACATTGATAACTTCAATCCATACACGCTTTACCTACCAACATTGTAATCAATAGACCACGTCAACATCCATTTGTGCCAGATTTTGGATCATACATGAACATGACCTAAGGGAAACATATTATTTCGTGAAAAATGAATGCCATCATCATAAAGTAAATGAAAAATGTTATCGATGATGAGGGTATTAAAGAAGGTATTTTGTTTGTGAATTGTTATAAACAGTGATTTTCCTCATGGTCGTTATTCTCCCACTTAAATATATTGTCAAGCCCTCTCGTTTTGAGGGAAGTTCTAAATTAGTATTATCTTTCAAATGCCGTTGGAATTTTACCTCTTCATATTGTTGGCCTGCAAATGGGTCATAGTACCTTTAATGGACGTGATAGAGTAATGTGCAATGTAATAATTATTTTGATTTATATATGTCTATGCGATTTACAAAGTAGTGGCTAAAGAGGAGGACTTTTACATTGTTCCTTACATGACCTTTCTCTTTACCTTTGTATTAGCTATCTACAAGGTAGTGTTTAAAACGAATTAAATTTGCAAGGGTGAGCAGTACATTTAAGTAATGCGAAGTCACTGCGAATATGCGTATTCCATAACATGATGTCAACAAGTCGATAACTAGTTTTTAGGTCGACAGCTTTTGATTTGCATTACTTTTGATTTCTCATTTTCAGAGAGCTGTTACTCCTCTGACAGGTCGTGAAATACAATATAGTTAACGTTATGGTCGTCTATGGCTCATTAGTTTTTCATTGATATTTAATTCATCCATTTCATTTTGTAATGGGATAAGGGGCCAACTGAATAATAACGGCACAATTTGGAAGCAATAATCATTCAGGCTTGTGCACTGTAATGTGCAATGTAAATAATTATTTTGATTTATATATGTCTATGCGATTTACAAAGTAGTGGCTAAAGAGGAGGACATTTACATTGTTCCTGACATGCCCTTTTTTTCTTCTTTTCCTTAGCTATCTACAAGGTAGTGTCCAAAACGAATTAAATTTGCAAGGGTCATGAAGAAAAAACAGATTTAATGGGCAAGTTAAAGGTCGATCTGTTAAGCGGTTGATTTCTCGAATTCTATACGTTATAACAAAGTTAGATGTGTTTATTAAAATCTCTGATTTAGTATGCCTGTGTTTCGTTTAAATTATATGTATAGACAATACATAGACTAGTTTAAATGTATCAGAGAAGTTTCTTGGACTTGAGTTGAAACAAAAATACATTTTTATTCATACAAAGCATTACTGTGATATAATCATTCCTTGAGTTTGAAGGCTGCGCCACCAAGTAGGCGCCATTAACCGCGTAGTTTCGTTTCTTGCCGGTAAAGGTCCTTGACTTGTTGCGACTATAAGATGGAAATTTCTTAATATGTTAACATATCTCTAGCATTTTTCATTACTTGAACTCTTTCAAGGTAGGATAATAGCTTTATATGGATTATAATCATATATGCCAGTCTCTCCTCACCCCAGACACCTTGTAAATTACCTTGTAATTATTTTCTGCCCATGTAGGATCAGTGGAATTGCGTCTGGTGGAGGAAGGACGTCCTCAAGCATGGAGGCTATACTAAAGCTAGTTGCCGTCATCGCTGTGGTAGTGATTGGTGTTCAAACAGTCAGAGTATCAGGTAAGATTACCAACCCGACCTCCTCCTACTTACTGCTAAGCCACAGTTTGGCAGGCTAGGCGTGCGAATTCGTTGATCACGCCATATTTAGCGTGCAGCAGGTAGCGATTGAGATCGCAATATAACATTAAAAAACGGCCAAACTTGTTGACGGGGGGGGGGGAGGATTTAGTTTTTCACACTTTACATTAAAAAGAATGGCATTTCTTCAAAACGAAGAAATGATACATGCACTTACCAAGTTTTTGAATTTTTCAAGTGATTTATGTGAAATATATTTGTCACAATTTGTTTGAAGATGTGACACATCATAGCTTACATCTGAAATTGTTCAAAAACCTTTCTACCGTTCTACCTTTCATTCTTGCGTTACGAAAACAAAATATTAAAAAACATTCAAATTTACAAGGAGTATGAATAATTTAGTTGTGAACTGTACATTTTCTAATTGTTTCAAAATGCTGTTTAAATTTGCCAACAGTTTCAGTTTCAGTTTCTGTTTATTGTTTCATATTTCACACGTATTGTATATTGCAATGATTTTCACAAGGTCAGTGGTCAAATTAAATGTGAATTCTTTTAACATAGACAAAAACAGAATGTGGGTACCTCATTTTAATTTGTTCGAAAGCATTACATTAAAAGACTGAAAAAAGAAGAAGAGTAAAATGTGGAGGGGCCTATGGTGATAGCTATACTCCTGTTTATAGGCCCCGAAGAATAGTTAATTTTATATTAGTCTTTAAAAATAGAGGGAACGAGCAATTAATGCCAATTGTAGTCAGGGACGGCGATCCCGAGGCGGGGTGACACGCCCCCTCCCCCTCATTTTTTAGATAATAATATCCTTAATGAAACAGTGTAAAGGCTATATAGTCTCAAACAAACCTACACCATTAAACTTAGTACCACCGTCATTAGGCCAGGCACCAAATTTGGTAATCTGCTTTTGTGTTTCTAAAGACCGAGGTTTCCCATGTTTATTTACGAAAATGGAAATTCAATACTGGTAAGTTGTTCGATAACATCACTCAGTCTGATTTGATCCGAGACATATCTCATTAATGAATCAGTGTTAAAGCTATGAAGTCTCAAACAAACCTATACCATTAAACTTAGTTCCACCGCCTTGGTAACATTGTTCAGATGAGAAAAAATGGTGCAAAGATCGTGACTTCAATGATTGATGTACAATTAAAGATAATCTGAAAGTTTCAAAAACAGACCGTTATTAATGATACAAATTGGGAAAATTATCTTATCGATTTCTTTAATCTCCCAACTCTAGAATTATTACAATTTAATTACATTTTAGGTGAATGAAAATTGTCACAAAGCAATGTATTTGCTTTATATACCATTCCAGACATTAAGTGTTGTAAGATTTTTAAAAGCCTGTTATATGTCTTATTTTCATGTTAAAACGGTTGGAAAAATTCAAAAATGGTTGGGATAATTTGCTGTTAGAGGTTGTCGCACAGTGGATTTTTCTTGTTTTGTTTGCATGTTAGAGAGTTAGTATAGTAGAAGGAATATGATAAGTAACATTTCATACAAAACTAACGCGGTTTTTTTCATTAACCGTCATCGCTGTTCACTTTAAGCCAGATTGATATTATTAATTTGTTCGATAACATCATTCAGTTTGATTGGATTGGAGATATATCTCATTCATTAATGAAACAGTGTTAAGGCTATTTAGTATCAAACAAACCTACACCATTAAACTTCAAGCGAAACAGTAATACATCTGCTATGTGATTGTAGGCATGTTAAACATATTTGGGATAGGTTGGAACAATGGATATATGCTGGAACCGGAAATAGAATAATATTTTCACTACAAGATAATTTTTTTTGTTTAAGAGGTTCAAATAATTATGAATTGAATTGTATACTGATTGTGGTGCGACAGATGGTGTATACGTGCAAAGTAAAGAAAGCATTCCCCGACTTTAATAATATATGAGTTTCGATTAAAAAAAAATTCCAAAATGAAAAGTATAATGCACATTCGAACTGTAGAAATAATAAGTTCCCAAGAAAATGGTTTCATTTCATGAATTTGTTTATATAAATAAAATACAAATCCCGATTTTTTTTTTTTAAATATCATTAGCTGTGGTCACAAGAAAGTAGTTGTATATAGCCAAATAATCAAAGGATAATATGTCTCTTTATATTGTTTCTTCCATTTTTGTTGTTCAGGAATATCAAAAATCCATTATTGAAAATATGTGTGTCTTCTGTTAACTCGACAGTTCAACAAAGATTTGTATCTCGAGTAGTCAATTCGATTCATGTTATAAATATGAACTATTTTTAATATATGTTTGTTAATTTGTTGCAAACGAAAATCAATTAAATTCCTGTGGAGTGAAAAAGTATGAAGAAAAAATTGACTTCAAGCTCTCTCACACATGATATATTATGACAATTTCAAGGCTACTTATTATTTTATTTTCATGAATATACAAACGGCAACAGTTTAAATATAAAATGTTATTTCTTCAAACTTAAATCATTGGTCTGGAAACAATTATTTGCCAACTTTGTTGTATATTGTATCAGATTTTCACTAACGATGAACTTACATAGTGATGGAATTTTCAGGTTTCCAAAGTTTATTTAGGAAAAAAGAAGATTGATATTGTTAAGTTGTTTGATAACATCATTCATTTTGATGTGATGGGAGATATATCTCATTAACGAAACAGTGTTAAGGCTATATAGTCTCAAACAAAACTACACCATTAAATTTCATGCTCAATCACACATGATATATTATGACAATTTCAAGGCTACTTATTATTTTATTTTCATGAATATACAAACGGCAACAGTTTAAATATAAAATGTTATTTCTTCAAACTTAAATCATTGGTCTGGAAACAATTATTTGCCAACTTTGTTGTATATTGTATCAGATTTTCACTAACGATGAACTTACATAGTGATGGAATTTTCAGGTTTCCAAAGTTTATTTAGGAAAAAAGAAGATTGATATTGTTAAGTTGTTTGATAACATCATTCATTTTGATGTGATGGGAGATATATCTCATTAACGAAACAGTGTTAAGGCTATATAGTCTCAAACAAAACTACACCATTAAATTTCATGCTCAATCACACATGATATATTATGACAATTTCAAGGCTACTTATTATTTTATTTTCATGAATATACAAACGGCAACAGTTTAAATATAAAATGTTATTTCTTCAAACTTAAATCATTGGTCTGGAAACAATTATTTGCCAACTTTGTTGTATATTGTATCAGATTTTCACTAACGATGAACTTACATAGTGATGGAATTTTCAGGTTTCCAAAGTTTATTTAGGAAAAAAGAAGATTGATATTGTTAAGTTGTTTGATAACATCATTCATTTTGATGTGATGGGAGATATATCTCATTAACGAAACAGTGTTAAGGCTATATAGTCTCAAACAAAACTACACCATTAAATTTCATGCTCAATCACACATGATATATTGCGATAATTTCAAGGCTATTTATTATTTCAGGTTCATGTATTTTCAAACGGTTTTAAACATGACATGTCAGTTCTTCTCACTTAAATCATTGGTCTGGAAACAATTTTTTGCTATCTTTGATAAAATTATACTATATTTTCACTTAGAATGGAATTTACATTGTAATGCAATTTTCAGGTTTCCCAGGGTGTTTTATGAAAATAGAAGAATGATATTGTTAGGTTGTTCGATAACATCATTCAGTTTGATGTGATGGGAGATATATCTCATTAATGAAACAGTGTAAAGGCTATAGTCTCAAACAAACCCACACCATTAAACTTCAAACGAAACAGTAATACATCTGCTATGTGATTGTAGGCATGTTAAACATATTTGGGATAGGTTGGAACACTTGATATATGCTGGAACCGGAAATAGAATAATATTTTCACTACAAGATCAATTATGTGGTTAGAGAATATTTATGAATTGAATTGTATACTGATTGTGGTGCGACAGATGGTGTATACGTGCTAAGTAAAGAAAACATTGCCAGACTTTGATAATATTAGAGTTTCGATTATAAATGTTTTCAAAAATGAAAAGTATAATGCACATTCGAACTGTAGAAATAATAAGTTCCCCAAAAATGGTTTCATTTCAGGAATTTGTTTCTATAAATAAAATACAAATCCCGATTTTTTTTTTATATCATTAGCTGTGGTCACAAGAAAGTAGTTGTATATAGCCCAATAATCAAAGGATAATATGTCTCTTTATATTGTTTCTTCCATTTTCGTTGTTGAGGAATATCAAAAATCCATTATTGAAAAAATGTGTTTCTTCTGTTAACTCGACAGTTCAACAAAGATTTGTATCTCGAGTAGTCAATTTGATTCATGTTATAAATATGAATTATTTTTAATATATGTTTGTTAATTTGTTGCAAACGAAAATCAATTAAATTCCTGTGGAGTGAAAAAGTATGAAGAAAAAATTGACTTCAAGCTCTCTCACACATGATATATTGTGACAATTTCAAGGCTACTTATTATTTTATTTTCATGAATATACAAACGGCAACAGTTTTAATATAAAATGTTATTTCTTCAAACTTAAATCATTGGTCTGGAAACAATTATTTGCCAACTTTGTTGTATATTGTATTAGATTTTCACTAACGATGAACTTACATAGTGATGGAATTTTCAGGTTTCCAAAGTTTATTTAGGAAAAAAGAAGATTGATATTGTTAAGTTGTTTGATAACATCATTCATTTTGATGTGATGGGAGATATATCTCATTAACGAAACAGTGTTAAGGCTATATAGTCTCAAACAAAACTACACCATTAAATTTCATGCTCAATCACACATGATATATTGCGATAATTTCAAGGCTATTTATTATTTCAGGTTCATGTATTTTCAAACGATTTTAAACATGACATGTCAGTTCTTCTCACTTAAATCATTGGTCTGGAAACAATTTTTTGCTATCTTTGGTGTATATTGTACT